TTTAGGTATGTCTCTGTTTACCATAATCGCCTCTGTATATCTTTTGACGTCACAATCTTATAACCAAAGAGACAAAAGGAAATTCATGCTCGTATGGAAAATGATGATGATTGATTTTTATGTAATGTTCTACAAATACTCGAATTTATTTTGCGAAAATTAAATTTAATGGATACTTGATAGATTGGAAGCTTTAATGCAGTCAACGGCCTGTTTTTTAGGGATTTTTCAGGATTTGTTTTCTGTGACCAGTAAATAAATACAGCTTTAAGCTTATTATCATTTATTAACATACACATATTTCGACAGTATTAATATAAATTATAGATAGAACATAAGTTACAGTGTGCAGAACACCCCTGCCTCGAAAAAAGGGCTCGCACTTCTTCCGGGATTTCGGCTGATTGCCTTTTCGGAAAAAAAATTCACGGAATGAATTATTATCAAATTAATATACCAAAACTGGACTTTTGGTAGATAATAAATAGTTGCGAATTTTGCGTTACAAAATTAAAATTTTTGGAATTTGTAATTGATAATCGTTCATTCCATGCATTTACTGCTTACATATGCTGAATGTACCCTAGAAATTTCAGTCATTCGGTCAAGTCAAGTTTTTGAGATAACATGGAGGAAAGTTTAAAAAACAGAGTTTTGAGAAAAACGCTTTTGAAGTTTCAAGTACGCTTAGAACCGCTCTAAACAGCTCCTTTTTCTAATCGATGTATACTTAAAACGACTCCGAATTTTTAAAAATCACTTTACTACCGTATTCTAGACATGTTAGGAAATCAATTTATGAAATAAAAAATAAATCGATTTTTCGAGCCCATCACATGGGATCACCCCCTTAAACGATTTTATATTTGACAAGTTGCTCCAGAACATATTTCCACGCAATTATATTAAGATAACTTACACATTGAGCAATATATTCGGCATAAAGTTCGTTAGGATAATGGGAATAATTTAATTTATTAGAATTGGAGTTTCCTTTCACCCATTTTTGGCATTAAACAATAGCAAGTACAAGATTGCTAATATGCTTTACATATCGGGCGTAAACTCAAGTAAAACAGGCTTTCTCAATTTCATTAATATAGCTATCACATTGGCCGATATATATGGCATAAAGTCAACTGGAAGTTCGAAAACCTTTATATTATAAAATGTATTTGGGGGCTAAAAGAAGTAACTATTGACATAAAGGTATATTATTATCAAAGAAACATATTCTCAGAATTCCAGAAATATATCATACAAGTACATACATGAAGCTTTCTAGTAGCACCGTGGGTGCAAAATTTCATGTCTCGAGTGCATTCAGTTATTGATTTATCGCAGTTTTAGTAGTTTTTAACAAAATCGATATAAGAGGAGAGGGCGGGGTTATAATCCGATTGTATCCATTTTTACACTGTTGGTAGAGGTTCTTAGCAATGTGCCATAAGCAAATGTGGTAAGTTTTATGGCAACGGTCGCTTTTTTAAAAAAATTAGCCCACAGATGCCCCTTGCCACTGCGATCTCCCTTGCAAAATTACAGCTTTATGTCTTAATTAAGTGATTAGTTATGGATCTATATAAGTTTTCGATTAATGGCGTTTTGTGGGTGTGGCAGTGGTCCGATTATACATTTACGAACTCGACCTCGATTTTTTGCCGAGGAACACGTGTACCAAGCTTTATTAGGATACCTAAATTTTTACTCAAGTTACTGCATGCACAGACAGACGGACGGACAGACAGTCACTCGGATATCAATTCGTCTCTTTATCCTGATCATTTTCATAGATGTATATAACCCTAACTCGATTATTTTTAGGTGATAGAAACAGCCAGGTAAACAAAACTATATACTTTGTAGCAACATGTTGCAACAGTATAAAAATGTTGCGAAAGAATTCATTATTCGACGGAATCGAGAATGAATTACGATCAAATTTGCTATTATAATAAGTTATATTTTAGGTCATAGCTACTCAATTAGTTTTATATTCATAATACAGACATACTATTAAAAGGAAAGGATTTTCTCCTAATTTCGATTATGTGTCTCACACATTGACCGATATTTTTGCTAAAACTTCAGAAATAGGTTCTGGTGGCCATATTTCCGGTATCTGTAGTCTTGAAGAGTTATAGGCAGATTTTGACTATTTTTAGACCTAAACCTTAACCTCAAACGCACTATTCGTGTGAAATTTTGTCCCGATACATTCAGTAGCGCTTAATTTGTATATTGAAAAGAAAAAATCAGATGGAATTTAAAGTTGAGTTATATGCGAAGTAAGCGTGGTAGTAGTGCGACTTCGTCCATTTTCACAATAGAATATAAGAATGTCAAAATAACACAACAGATTTCATCAATATCGATCGAGTACGTCCTGAGGTATGTGGATATAATAAAGTCGGTAATCGATGAAAATCATCGAATAACAACTTGAGAGATTGCTGAAAGATTAAATTTGTTTAACGCGGCCGTTCTTCATGAAACGTCTAGAATTCATTTCGAAGCTTGACATAATATGGATTCCTCATGTTCTTACAGACCGAAATTTGCTTCGTCGCATTAACGACTGTGATTTGCTTATCAAACGTCAAAGAACTGATCCATTTTTGAAGCGCATTGTAACTGGCGATTGTTTACAAGAATGTAAGGCACAAGAGATCATTACCTAAAAAGGATGAACCAGCTCAAACCCCGTCAAAGGCCGATAATCACCAAAAAATGTTATATTGTCAGTTTGGTGGGTATCCAAAGGAATCATTCATTTATAAGTTCTGCCAAATATGACGATTAATTGTGAAGTGTATTGTGATCAGCTAGACAAATTTAGTGATGTACCCAAACAGAAAAGGTCAGAATTGGTCAATAGAAAAGTTGTAGTGTTCCACCAGGTTGATGCGAGACCCCATACAGGTTTGATGACTCTTCAAAAGCTTTAGCAGCTTTAATGGAATGTGCTACTACACCCACTATATTATCCAGACTTGGCACCTTCGGACTATTACATGTTCCGGTCTCTGAAAATTTTTTTGGATGGGAGAACCTTCACTTCAAATCAGGACGTCAAAAACCACTGGACCAGTTTTTTGCCTGCAAGGATCAAAAATTTATGAGCGTGGAATCAATCTCTTGCCCGAAAGATAGCAAAAGATATTGGATCAAACTGGAGGATATAGAAAATTTTTTTCACAATAAACAAATCGTGTTTAAATTGCACAAAAAAAAACGAAATTACTTAAGGAACGACCTAATACATGAAACCTAAGAGAAGGCGTGACCATGCCCACTTATTAAATTTTTCAAAACGCAGGTGCGCCTCTTTAGAGCAATTCTTAATTTGCGGCTTAGTAATGGCATTTAGATGTTATCGTTCAATGGCGTTTTGTGGGCGTGGCAATGATCCGATTACGCCCATCTACAAACTTGTCCTCCCTCTTTCGCCAATGAACACGATATCTTAATATTAACTCAAGTTACAGCTTGTAAAGACAGACGGGCGGACAAACAGTCATTCGGATTTCAACTCGTCTCGTCATCCTCTGTAGCAACATGTTGAAGAATATAAAATTTGTATTATGCAAACAAATTAAACTAAAAAAAATTAAAAAAAACTTAATAATCTAAAATAGGGTAATAGGTTAATAGCCGTGTAAAATATCACACATCAAATATTAAAATACACACGATTTCAGCGCAAATATAAATAGAAGCCTTAAGTTTGACTTATTTTATTTCGTACTTCCACATCACAAACAAACGTCAGTAAACATTTTACGTACGAAATAAATGAATAAGCCCGTAGATAGATTTTAATGTAATCACAATTTTTGTTTTGTTGAAGTTGAACATCAACTTCGAAGTAAAAAAGGGTATGTACTGAATTTCTGTAATATTGTGGATAAGTAACGGAGCTATAACAAAAATATTAACAAATTTAAGAGCTGTAAAGGGTGTGAAACGAAAGATTTGCTTTTGGCATTTCACCGCAAATATATTTATAATGCACACTCCGCGTCCCTTAAATTAAACTTATTTTATCTCTGATGTGCTTAGCAAAATATGATAGCTGTCTTCGATTCGCCAAGTGTTGGAGAATAGTAAATCGAACAAACTATACGAGATGTTTAAATAAACAGGCAACACCCTATGCTAACATGTTCTCTGACGCATGCGCAATTCTGCTACAATTCTTTCTTGGTGGAGGAATTCTGTTTTCTTCGCGTCAAAAAGTTTTTTAGTAATTCCTTTATTTTGTTTTTATTAAACTGTGATAAGGGTTTTTGAGTTTTAAATTTTTAAAATCAAAAAATAAAAACTATATTGTATTTTCACTTATCATTCGAGGCATCCACAATAGTGAAACTGATCTCAACTACGCCAAACAAGACTCGGTATCACTCAAGATTGCCGTTATACCACTTTAGTTAGGTATTAGCGTACCCTCTTGTACGAATTCAATTCGATAACTTTGTTGTAGCTTTTACATGCGATTTTTTTAAAAAGAGAGTGCAAGGACAGCGTGCAAAGAAATGGCGAATCGAAGACGGCTTATGTAAGTATGGTGGATCATTTACACATAACACCAACTAATTAAAAGCCATAATAAATGCAATCAATTCACAATACCGTTAGAGTTGTTTTTATTTTTACCCAATCACAAAATGTTCATGACTTCCGATCATAAACGCAATAAAAACTCAAAATAATAAAATTAGGCATTCCCAATAAACTCAGTCGAGAGCTATTCCAGTGACGCGCACTGTATACATATCTCACGATGGTACTTCCGTAACACCATGAAGAGTTTACCATTTGCCATTCTCTAAAGCACACATAAACGTAATACACCAAAAATTTGGCATGGAAGCAATAAAATATATACAAGTGTTAAAGGAAATCAGACTAGACAAATAAACTTGGAAACAATATTTATCAGTGTTTATTTTCACACGTTATTTTAATGATTCCTTTTATGATTCAACTGATTACATGGAGTAAACACGCATTTATATTGTGTTTGGAAATATCTCTTTTTATCTGAAAATTAACCAGAAATTTCCAAATGTGTCTTATCTTTATAACTGGCGAATATTATTTTGTTAAATCAGTTATTTATCTCAACCGTTTGCTGGGGCAACTTTTAAAAGACCGCGTGTGCCGAATGTGTGAGTAGCAAGCGATAGATCGGGTATTCAAATCCCTAAATGGTAAAATTTTTAATAAAATAAAGTCTTCATGACCAAAGCGGAAGGCACAAGTGTAATTCTAATTATTAAGACGTTTAGTGGTTGCTACCGGTGAAGAAGCACGGGCCAAGAAGTATCTGGTTGATAAGTGCTGAACATTGTCATACTATTTGCACACTTTCGTATATATCACCAGACAATATGTACGGTTATAATTGATTGGCAATTTTAAAAAAGAAGAGCATTAGGAAAATTTTAAAACAGATAGAAAAGTATAGTTACTCGCTAAGCAAGCAATTTCGACAGACGCGAAGCAAAATGTTCCACCCCGTGTGCTTTAAGCGGTTACTTATTGTTGTGCTTACAAATGTTAGTTGAGTATTTATGTATGTGCATGAGATGATAATATTTTACGTCAATCCTAACAGTATTCCATGTCATTTCAATTGTAGCTTCTCTTCATCACAAATGAACACTTCGGCCACGCAGCTTTCACAGGCCAATGCAACGAGTGTTTTGCGAGTGCAGCCGCCTGTCTGAATGAGCAGAACTTTGCTATTTGTGTAGACGACACGCCGATTGCTGTCTCTACTCCATGCCCTACGGGCACGGTTTGCACAGCCGACGCAGCTATATGTCAGGCCACCGCACAGGGCGCTGTACCCGTTTGCTATGAAGATCAGTGTGGAACGTGTGCATCTGCGCAGAAGAATTTCGCCTGTCTCGACGAAGCCATCTATGCCATTTGCTATAATGGTCAAACGCCAGATTCGAGTTCCATTGATTACTGTCCCTTGGGATATGTATGTGATTTGAATAACCCTCAAATTTGTTCGTCTGCACTAACTGTTGCTGTGAGTATGGATTTAATTATCAATAGATGGCAGTTTCTAATATTATATTTATATGCAAACATACTTGTAATCGGATTCGTTTTCTATTTTTTGTAGCCATCGTGTTCAATCACTGATACAACAACTGTTACAACAACAGAAACAACAACCGGAATAGTAACCATTACAACAACCGATACAACAGCAGATACAACAACCCAAACAGGAACCATTCCAACAACTGTTACAACAACAGATACGACCACTATTACAACAACAGATACAACAACCGATATAACAACAGATACAACAACCGATACAACAACAGATACAACAACCGATACAACGACCGTTGCAACAACCGATACAACAACAGGTACAACAGCAGTTACGACAACAGGTATATCAACCAATACAATACTAACTGATACAACAACAGGCGGAACAACCGATACAACAACCGAAACAGCAATCATTACAACAACAGGATCAACTAAACCCCCTGTAGATGCCACCACATTTTGTGCTGAAATGGGCAAAGCAGGCAAGTTTAGACAAGATGGTGACACAACATGTGCCAGGTGTGTATATCTATATATAATATATGTAATAACAGTTTTTCTAATGTTTTTATTAGTTCACCTGTATGTATGTTTTAACCTTTTTTTTACTGGTAAAGAAACAGAATTTCGCTTACCAAAGAATGAACAGTTTGATAGGTACAGCAAAAAAAATAAAGAATGGTCCTAAAACTATACAGCTAAAAGCATGAACTTTCCATGGTGTCGTTTGAATACCAAATTTACTCTAACGCATCCTTACAGAAAGATAAAACAAGTATTTTTCGGTCGATATTACTGTCGGTTTATATTAAGAATTATTTTCAGCTTATTATTTTATACTTTTGCAACATATTGTAACAAAGTATAATAGTTTTGTTCACCTAACGGTTGTTTGTATCATCTAAAAACAATTGAGTTAGATATAGGGTTCTATATACATAAATGTTCAGGATGCTGAGACGAGTTGAAATCCAAGTGACTGTCTGTCTGTCCGTCCGTCTGTCCTTCTGGGCAAACAATAACTTAAGTACGAATTGAGTTATCGTAAATAAACTTGGCACTCGTCTCCCTTGCCATTAAATGAAAACCTATAAAGTAAATCAGCTCTAAATAAAAAATTTAAAAAAATGTGAGCGACTCCACCCTCAAATTTATTTAATGAACTTATCTTATAAACCACTAAAGATATAATAACCAAAATCCCTTAAGCACCCCAATCGAAGCTGAACGAATGGATGAAATCGGCTGATGATCCCGCCTCCTCCCCATATAACGGGTTGTTAAAAACGTGCCAGAGACAATAAATTGTACACTCGAGATGGTACAAAAAGACTTTATTGGATGCGGGGTCAAAAATAATTTTAACCAAATTCGATACATAATATTGTCCTGAAAATATGATATTAAGTTGTAAAAATGGGCACAATCGGACCGCAACCACGATTATGATTATTTTACTCACCAGTACACAAATCAAGCACTAGTGAATATTTTCGGATAAAACTATGCACAAATAGTGCCTTTGAGGTACACCATCTGGGGTCGTAAAATCGCCAAATCGGACCATAACTGTTGAAATCCCCAAATACCGAATCTGTGAACCGTAGTGCGTATAGCTGACTTTCTGTCGAAAATATCGGTCAATCTATTAGATATATTTCTGGAATTAAAGGACAATGATAATAACTAACTCTTATGTCTAAAATCGATCAAATCCGACGAAAACTTGCTTTCGCTCCCATGCATTATTTTGATATTTATGTTTATACACATTTATATATTTATAAAATTGCTTTAAAATAAAATAAGTGTCAAAAAGTAATGCAATTAGCCCTTCCAATTCTCTGCCTCCTAATATACCCTATATAATCATATCCGATTTTCCTCCCTGGCATTAAACCGTTTTGGCTGGTCAAAATTTGTGATATTTTAATGAAATTAGGTGGACACGTTTTCCTAAAAAAAATTTTAAAATTATATAAATGGTTTGGCACTCAATATAAATGAAATTGTTCTTGTAATTTATGAAGTGTTTGAAAATAATGATTATTGTGTCATTGGTTTAACCAAGTTTGTTCCTTCTGTAATTATTTTTTATTAATCAAAATTATTTTTTTGTTTTTTAGATATATTTACTGCTACCGGCTTTCTGGTCAATATTTAGGCTATCAGTACATTTGCCAATACTATTTTAATGCAGCAACTCAAAATTGTCAAACGGAACGTCCGGATGATTGTTAACATTTCATTTGATTTTAAGAAATTAAAAAATAATTTCAAATTTTTCTAAATATCATATGTAATATTTACAATAATAAAACATTTTGCATTTTACTGACTTATCCATTTTATAAATTGAGTTTGAGTAAGTATTACATCTCTCGTATGTAAATTTGTAAGGTGACAACTGAAACTAGAATACCCTTCACTGCACTGAGACCCTTCACTGGAGCATGAAAGGGAGAATCCTTTTCTCTATTTCGATCGGTCAGTTTAGATAGCAGCGTACTACACTTTTCTCACGATAAGACAAGTCTTTTTCGGTCAATACTACTGTCAGTTTAGGGTGACAATGGGTTAGTGACGCGATTATAAAGCCTCTCCTATCTAACCGTCAACCTCACCTACAAGTCGGTGCACCCTGTCAATAACCAAAGAAGCTCTGGTGACCGATTATGGGCGGCATAACCCTAATAGAAGGCTTCTAAAAAGAAATGGCAACCTGACAGCTTGAGGTATAACAACCTATCATATGTTTGGAGTTCCGCTTCGTCGACGTAGGGTTGACAACCCACTCGGCGATAATGATTTGTCGTAAAAGCAACACAAGTGCCTCGGAAAAAGTATAATGAATGGAAACTTGGCTCATGAGATATAAAGATTAAGCTACAAGCTGGTAAAATGAATGAAATCGCCTGAACTTGCAAAATGTGAGATGGACATCGTGGCCTTTCAAGAAATACGTTGGAAGAACTTTGGAGAAATTCGCAAACAGACATATGACTTGTTTTGTATATGTATAGTGGCACAGAAACGGCACTGGTTTCTGGACAAACGCAAAAATAAGGAATAAAATTCTAGGATTCGAGTCTTATAACAAGTTCGAGGCCCTAAGTAAAATCTTTGGAGCAATAAAAGATAATAGCGAGTGGCGTATAAGATGGAACGATGAGCTAGCTATACCAGATTTTAAAAGGTGAAAATGTCATACGCTTCATCAAAGCCCAGCGACTAAGATGGATCGGTCATGTAAGAGAAAGGACAACAAGAGAGCACAGAGGAAAATTATAGAGGCCACAACATTCACCACTATAGCAAGGGGAAGACCGCGATCAAGATCGATTGACGAACTCGAGAAAGGTATGAAGAAGTTCGGTATACAAAATTATAAAGAAACCGCAAATGACAGAGATGTTTGGAGGGATCTTAGTGCATAGGATTATACGACATTTTCTAAGTATCAAGTAGTCATATACGTATTCCAAGGCAAAACCTTGGTAGAAAAATATATACTCGTATATGATTGATCAGCTATAGTGGACTAGTTCGCGCATATACAGACGGACAGACAGACGGGGATATATGTACTCTATAAGGTCTCCAACGTTTCCTTTTGGGTGTAACAATCATCATGGCAAACTTAATATACCCTGTTCAAAGTATAAAAACCGCTGAAACCCTTCTTAATGGTACTTATTTCTCAGACAATTTTGTAGTTTTAAGGAAAAGCCTATTCATGACCATAGTATCCTATTTTTTTAAATGGAAAATTTATAGAATATTCTACCACGTGCTTGCATCTAAATGTTGCTTGGTCCTAATACACCTACATTTTTCAGCCACAGTATTAAAACTGATTCGACTGCAATAAAATTGTTCCATGACGATCGTAGCAATGCAGGGTAAAACTAGGACCGATTTGTTAGACTATTATTTGGATTGTTCGGTTAGAATATTGATATCCGTTAAAATTTTCAGTCAAAGAACACTAGACTGGTTCAGATGCCTGTCAACACTGGATTTTCTATGAACTGTAAAGCTGATGACCTTGCTAGGACTGGTACTTCAGCCTCATTAACTACGGAATGGGAACGTGTAGGAGCTAGACTATTAAGCCTCAAACCAGTTCAGCAAGCGTTGGTAAACTACCAGCAACTGTGCAGTCGCTAGGTTCTTCCGGTCCAGGGTAAATCGTTAGGGGTCTAACTGGACACTGTCCGATCGGTATTCATGCAGTAATATTGAACATCTTACCGGATGCCAGGGGAATTGGCTGTTTGGAGGAAGATGAGATAGAATCATCATCAACACTTCCTCCTTGAATATCCCGCTTTTGTCAGATCAATGCTAAAACACCTACTTTTAGATGTCCAGGTGAAATAGCGGAAATAAAACATCTAAGCAGATTTGTGATAAGTTTAAAGCATTTTTGACAAAAGCTGATATTTAACTGCCGTAGTGTTTGATATGGGTTCACAAAGAACTGTACATAACCGTCTAAGTCTGATCCTCCATCTTGCTGAGGCAAGTGTCAATCAAAATAATGAATGAAACTTCTTTTTCTTTCTCAAAAGACATCAGTCATAAAATTTCCTTAGTCATTACGGCTACACATTTTTAATACTCAAGCTACAATTTGTACACGGGATGCGTCATACAACCGCCTTAGCCACTTGTTCATACATATGTTCCCCATAAATGAAAATTTAATTTACCTTATGTTCTTAGGTATCATGTTTATTAATTTATAAGTGAACTAGAATCGGTGTGTGTGATTCTTGTCGGGAAATTTACAAATTTGAAAACAGGAAGTAAGTATTTTAAGAAACTTATTTAGCAATATCTATTATTTGAATATATTTCTGTAATAAGCGCTCTTAGGTCCGCCGAAACTTCTACGTTGGACAGACATATGTAGAGCTACATCTTTTTGTAGTCGGATTAAAATAGCTCCTACAAGTATACTCCTGAGCAATCCAATTAGCCCCAGGCTTCGAGCAGACGATGTATCTGAAATTTCATTATATCACTGAAGTTGTAAATTTATAAATATTCAAGCTGCTTACTTTCTACAAGTATTATCATCGGGTGCGGCAATGGTTTCCACCACGCCGTGTTCCTCGCATATTTCCTCAAGAGTAAGTGTGCGCGCAGTACTTGGATCTGATGTTGTTGAAGTACTCTGAACGGGACACGTATGTGTTGTGGAGCAAAATTTCAAAGTGGGATTAAACCATTGATTCGCTGGACATGTATTTACGACTGCTTTCCAAACATTATTAGTTTCGCTACATTGAATAGACCTGAAATTTTGAAATTTATTTGCATGCACCAAATAAGAAGAGATTAAAAATGCTTACACTTTACATGTAAGATCACCAGGATATGCTATGGTATCCGACGCGCCATAATTTTCGCAAATTTCCTCAGGTGTAAGGACGTGTTCAGTGGTAGTAGTCGGATTCAGAGTTGTTGTAGTGTTAGGTACCAGAATAGTTGGAGTTGGCGTTGTTGTTGGTAAATTTGTAGTGTTTGGATCTGGTGTAGAGGTTTTTGTTGAAGTACTCTGAGTGAGACACGTATATGTTGTGGTACAAAACTTTAAAGTAGGATCAAACCATTGATTCGCAGGACATGTATTTACTACTGCTTTCCATACTTTATTGGTTTCGCTACATTGAATAGACCTGAAATTTTGAAATTTATTTGCATATATCAAATAAGAAAAGATTAAAATTGCTTACACTTTACACGTAAGATCACCAGGATATGCTATGGTACCGGATGCGTCATGATTTTCGCAAATTTCCTCAGGTGTAAGAACGTGTTCAGTGGTTGTAGTCGAATCCAGAGTTGTTGTAGTCATAGGTACAGGAGTTATTGTTGTGGTAGATACAGGAGTTGTTGTGGTTGTGAGTACAGGAGTTGTTGTAGTGGTAGATACAGGAGTTGTTGTGGTGGTGGGTACAGGGGTTGTTGTTGGTACAGAAGTTGTTGTTGTGGTAGATACAGGAGTTGTTGTAATTGTGGCTACTGGACTTGTTGTTGTTGGAACTGTTGGTGTGGTTGTTGAAGTAGTGGTAGTCGAGCTCAGCGTACTAGTTGTTACTGCTGGCGTCGAAGTTGTCCATTGACTTTGTCTGCAACTTGGCTGAGGATTGAAACAAAAATTAAATAACTCAATACAATTCAGTCAATACCATTTGATCATGTATGGAAATTTTTTCTTATAAACTCTTATAGTATTATACCGCAGATTTTGTCGCGGCTGTGCAAAATCCACTTTCCGCATTCAAATCGCAGACAGTGCCTGCTGGACAGTAAGAAAGCGACTCATAATGTGGCACATCATCGCCAAAACAGAACGCAATTGTCGTTTGGTTAAGGCATGCATACAAATTGCCCCTAGATGCGCAAATGCCACATTGAGACGATCCGTCGTCAGTTGAATTAGTGCAACTAGCAACTGACGAATTTCTAGGATAACATACAAACACATCGCTTGTACATATATAATCTGTGGGGCATGTGACGAAATTCATTGTTGGTTGATCTGAATTTCAATTAAAACAGTGACAGTTAGTATTCAAATTAGTTACTACAATAGAGGAATGCAAAAAAAACTTACCATTAAGGCAGAGCGAATAGACCGTCTCACTGTGACAAGCTACAGGATTATTAGAGTTGCACTTATCACACTCGCCATATACACTTCCAAACGCGAGTGCCTAGCAAAAAACAGAATATGCATCGAATTTCCTCAGGACCCCATTGATCTTACTTACCACAAGAAATAGAGTGACTTCACTTATTCGCTTCATTTACTTAGCTCTAACTGCAAATGCTGACTGAATCTGCAGCGCCGATTTAGTAAACTTAAAAGTCGATAAAGCCAATGTCAACGGGAAATGGCTGACAACAACACATGGAAAACCTATAGACATGTAAAAAGTCATATGTATATACTTATATTTGTATGGGCTCAATAACAGTTCGTTATACGGAAACCCTACCTCATTAGTTTATTATCTGCCCAAAATCATTATGTTTACTTTTGCTGACATAAAACTTAAGATCCCAAAAACATTAGCTGCATAGATCATACAGATATTCAAAGGAGGTATATATGTATGTATGTAAAACAGCATGTAGAACAATAATAAATGCTATATAAATAATGCTTATTGCGGAACAAAATATTTGTTATTAAATCTTTTATCGAGACTTTAAAAATTTACAGTCGTTGTACCGGAAGATTAGATAATTCACTGTAATTGGGCACACATGTATGTGGCGTTGCCGTTCTGCTGCAATTGAATTCTAAATGATTGGTTTAAAACGAATAACTTCGTTGCAACACGAATTCGGTATGGCTACTTTATCGCTAGTCAAGCTCTATTGGATAGTAACTTACCTTCAAAAAATATATTACTATTGTGATAGATATAATAAGGTAATCGATGGATCTCACTCGGACATTAGTTGGTCCTTTGTGTTACCCATTAAATCCTAAAAGTTAATGACTAGATCCTCATGGATCAACGAAGTGTTTTGAGCTTACCACAAATTTGTTAAGGTGGTTAATATCAATCTCAGTCAATCTCAGTCTGGCAAAAGCCGGGCAATAAAGCAAAAAGTGATAAAATTACTCCACCTCCGTCCGAAAAAATATTTAGCCGCACCGCATGTGAGTCTTTCATTTCCTTTATAGGATAAGTACTTCACCCTGTCCACCAGTTGAAAAATTGAGCATTTCAGAGAAGGAAAAGTAACATCAGGGATAAAAGTAATTTATTTTTATTTGAACTTATGTCGCAAATGAGACTATAGATGAAATGCTTAATATTAACTTCGACCTCAAACTTATTAAGAGCTCCAATAATCGCTTTCGGTCGTATATTGTTGAAGGCCAGTCTCGATATTAAGGTACCCTCAGTTTTTATGTATAAGAGTTCCCATCAGCTATGACATTATTGAGTGCAAGGCAGATTCGACCGAAATGCCTTTGCTGCAGGCATGATGAACCCTTAACAGCCTGTTTCTTGGAGTTCAACCCCTTATGCACAGGGCCTTGAGTCTCTATAGCGTTTTGATAGAAATGTGTACTGTAAAATCTAATAAAAT